GTGTATGTACATTGGATTTATTTTATTGAGATTTCTTTGGAGATAATATCGTTGAATACTAATTCATCAACCGTCGCAAATTCAGACCAATAAGAATGAAGATAATCCAGCACCTGCAATAATGATGACTGGAGGTGACGTAGAATCACTTCCTCCACTATCATCACTACTACCCATTCCTCCGCTTCCATCGCCATTATTACCACCACCCGGTTCTATAAATTCTATACTAAACAATATAATAATACCAAAAGATTTACCAACGTTGGTAAATCAAGATCAATTATCGCTTTCATTTACAAACCCTATCATCCAAACCCCTGGGACTCCACCGCCAAGGCCTAATGTCAATAATATACAGATTACTCCTCAAAAGTTGGTGCTTTTTAAGGAATCCGTTACCTATCTACAAAATCATATAAAGATAAATGTAAATGATCAAGGAATGATCATAAAAGACAATCATACTTCGGAAGAAATCTCTGGTATAATTCGTAATTGGCTCATAATGGCATTAACGGTAAGTTATCATAAATTTCTTTTTAGATAGTAAGATGTGTATATTAAAATTTTTTTACTCTAGTCACCGAAAGAGGAGTTTGTAAAAGCTATCATGACTCCTTTAAGCTCAGAAGCAAGTCCAAAAGATTGTGATTTTTGTCAAATTTGCGAGCTTATTCTTTATGATTTGTATGTGTATTGTTTTACTCACATATTTTTTTTGACATCATAATATTACTGATATGCATGTTATTTTATAATGATTAGTTATTTTATGACAAAGAAGGGTCCTTTAAAAAGAGATATTGGTGAGCATACGTATATTGTTGAAAGGATCATTCCCCTGTTCAAATCAATTCAATCAGTATATAATGAATACAAATTTCATTGGATCGAAGTTGAATTGGATTGTATGAGGGAAGTGAAGAAGATATTCCCCAAGTTTGATTTACCTATATACCAGGCTGATGGTCTTGGAGTACGGAATTCGAGTAAAAAGGAGGTTTTTTTTATCGAAATATTGGGTGGGCCCGAAAATACAGATCAAAAAAAAAATTAAAAGAAGATTCAGAAAAGCTTCCGAAAGAAGCTGTATTTGGACTTGTTTCCCTATTACGAAATTATTTGGATAAAAGTGTCGAAGAATCGAAGCAATTATACACGTTCATGATTCAGGGCATTGGTAATTTATTTGTCAATCATTAACTATTTTTAAAACATAAATCTTACATAGAAATACTTGTTAGGCGACCGGTTAACGCTCAGTAAATTATGCTTAATAAATGTTACGGCTGATGCTGAAGTTTGGCTGATGTTGAAGCTAAAAAATCTGATTGGCTAAATTTTGCAGATCACCCTAACCCTAACCAATCAGATTTTTTAGCTTCAACATCAGCCAAACTTCAGCATCAGCCGTCACAATAAATAAACATGTTTACAAAGTTTTGCAGATCAAATCTGCAACCCTCCCATTCGAATTCATTGATGTGGCGGATTATTTAGCAGTATTTGAATTCCTTTATATTCTTGTAGTAGGTATACTAATACATTCATTGGATATTGCACAACTTCAATATAACATTCATACTTAATTTTCATAGCGAGCTCGAAATTCAAACGGAGGTAATTAATAAATTAAGGTTATCTGAATCGGCCGATGGCGTAATTGTACCAAGAATTCGTAATTGGATTTGGCTGCCAGATTCGATTTCTGCATGGGAATGCGAAGAGATTCAAAATGAAAATCTATGAATTACAAGCGTTAGTCTATTAATTTCAAATAGTTACACATATAAATCATTTCTCTATCCAGAAATGGGTGTCTTGTGCATATACGAAATAAAAACTATGTGCGCATTACAAATTGTAACGCTGATCACTTTTGCCAAGAAAAAAAAATATACGTACATTTGCTTTATTGTTGCAAATAAAATATAAAGCACATAGGTACTAGTACGTACGTACAAACATGTGTCATGAGACGATTAATTGAATTTTAGAAAATAAGTTATGACGATAAGCCTTCTAGGTAGTACAGATAAATTTTATATACGGAATTTATTCTAACACGCTTATTTTTGTTTAACGTTAATTACATTCGCATCGCTTATATATTCCATCCGCTACCTTTTTGCATGTTTTGCAATACAGGTGTGAATAGTGATTGCATTCGTCACAAACCTTACACCCATGCTTCCACCCTCTAAAGATATGCCACTTCTCGATATAATTTTGTTTATCTTTACGTATGAGTATGTTATTCGGATATTTTTTCATTGTTATACGTTAACAGAAAAAATATAACGTGATCAATAATATGTGGCAATTGCGCCCTCACTCACAAATAATTTATGCATAAGCCGGGATTATTTATACATAGAGAATTTTTTTATATACCAATATAAACATTTTGTACCATATAACTAATTTCATTTTTTATATAGAACGCAAAACTTTACGTACATGGACTGAAAATTATTACATTAAATTTAATATATGGCGCAGTAGTCACGTGAGTGTGACCTTCGAGGTCACGTCTATGTGACTTATACGATTGATTCTGTTGGGGTTTTATCTGGAATTTGAGATATTACATGGTTAATTTGATCTACGGTTAATTTAGCAATTGTCAATGCACTAAAAGATTTTACCCGCCCTATCTTACTTGTTCCTATCTTACTAAAGAGGTGAAAAATCTTTTGGGCTTTTTCTTTTCTTTTCTGAATAGTAGTTTCAGAAGTACCATCAGGAAGTTGTTTTTCGATTTCTTTTTTTAACTTCACTATTAGCGTCATTTACATTATATGATTTTTCATAATAGAACTTGAAACGTTTTGCTATACCTAATCCAAAGTTATAATACTGGATAATTATATTCTGGTTTGGTTTTTGGATTTCACTTTCAGC